GGGCGCGGAGGGGCCGATACGGTCCGCGGTGGGCGAGGGAGCTGCTGGTAGGTGCGAGCTACGTTGACCCAGGGCTCGGAGTGGCCGCGCCGCCGGTTCAGGGCGGCAGGGGCCGTGAGGGCGTGTGAAGGCAGGCAGGGCCGGAGAGTGGGTTGTGAGGTTTCCCGCAAGGACTGCGGGAGACGACCCTTGACAGGAAGGGACCTCAGACAGCAAGGATCCGCCGGGAACGGGGCCTGACCGCAGCGCTGTACGCTGTTGTGAAGAGCTTCTCTCCAGCTGGCGGCGCAGCTATCTTTAGTTCTCCCTGTGACCAGACGTGAGCGTGGTCCGCACCTCGTGCACAGCTGTGGTTAGGGAGAGTACCTGTTTTCAGCTTAATTGCCCAGGAGCTACGGGAGAGACGGGCCCAAGCGCCAGGGATGCGGAGGCAGTCGGTGAAGCCCAGTGAGAAGTGAGGATGTTTACCTTCGCCGTACCTGGAGTGGGATATTCCGGTTTTCTGCTTTCTCAGACTTGAGTTTATGACTTAGAAATCAAAGTGCGGGACTGTGCCTCAGTAGATACCCCCTCTGTTTTAATGACTGTCAAGAATTTAATGTGGAGCTGTATTTCAAGGTTTAAAAAAGCTTATATGTCCATGGGACTTTCCGTTTAAACAAAAGCCCTCCTTGCATAGCTTAAATAAAAAGAAGTCCTCACCGAGGGGATAGAACGTCAGGGTCCTGAAGTTTGCTGTATTTGTCTTTTGCTTGTTGTAACGCTGGACAAGCGATTTAGTATGAGACTCAATGCTCCCCCTGTAAAATGCTGTGAACCAGATGCATCTTAATCCCCTCATTTGCAGGATCCCCCCCACACCCCCGGTGTCATTCAGTCTGTGTGTCTCAAATTGTGGCAGGTTATTTTTATCTGTGTCTCAACTGTTTGTCAAACTAGATAATTCATACCAACTCTTCTTGTAGAAAATGTTAGGATGTCAGTATAAAATTGAAGTGACTTGTCCTTCAAAGGCCATTGGTCAGTAGGTACCCTGTCGGTTGGTACATGCAGAAGCCAGGTATTAACTGGCTGATTCAAATAACAGCGGTTCTGGATTGGGACAGACAGACATGTTTCAGGCTCCCTGTCAGTGCCTTGTAAGAAATACAGACAAAAGATCAAAGCCAACCCTAGCAACTTAACCAGACCCTAAGCAACTTAGCAACCCTGTCTCAAAATAAGAAATATAAAAAGACTGGGAATGTGGCTCACTGGTTAAGTGCTTCTGGGTTTGATCTGCAGGATTTAAAAAAAAAAAAAATCCTGATGAAGTAATGGGCTTCCTCACACCTTTAAGCTGGCACATTCTTTAGTGGGATTGTGTTTATATAGAATCCTAAGGATTTCTTTCTTTCTTTTTTTTTTATTCCATTGCATTTTGTACTAAAAAATATATACGAAGAATTTTAGTGGTCTTAATTTATATGGAAGCAAATAGCTAGCTAAGAGGGTGGATTCATGATAGTCTTAAAACTAGTTCTTGTTCATTATTGAATACTTATCATTCCCCTGGCTCTGAGTCCTCACTACAGCCTTGAGAACCCTGTCTGTACCTGTGCTCATATGCTTGGAACTCTGAAGTATATGTTTTTAGGAGGGAAGAGTAGGAGTATTAACTGAATGTTAACTGTAGAAACTTCTGTTCCTGAAGTGAGCACATCTGGATAGGATTTGACCTAAGGAGCTGATTGTTGTGCAGGTTGTCTTCGTCTGCTGCATTCCCTGATCTACCAGTTTTGAATGGCATTAGTCCAGTTAGGTCAATGAGGTGCTCTTTAGTGAAGTGTATAAAGGTCAGGGAAGGTGTGCTTATGTTTTGAAATTTAGAACTTTTTATAAACTGCTTGTGAAATTGTTATATTAAGGTTATACCTTTTCTTTTTCTTTCTTTCCTTATTTTAATTAGGTATATATGATAGCAAAATGCATTTCGATTCAATGTACACAATTGCAGCACAATTTTTCATTTCTCTGGTTGTACACGATGTAGCATCACACCCTATGTGCAATCTTAAGTGTACCTAGGGTAATGATTCTGTCTTATTCTATCATCTTGTGTGCCCCCATGCACCTTTCTCTAAGGTTATACCTTTTAATCTGAGGACCCCACAGCATGATTTAGTGAGGCTGGAGATAGAATAGAATACTAAGTTCTTAAAAAATTTCTAGGAGCTGGGGATGTAACTTTGTGTGTGGGCCAGTTGTACCTGGGGCCTTTGGTTTGATCCCCAGCATGGAAGGGTGGGAGTATTTCTGCAAGTGAATTTTCCATTCACCTTAAATACTATTTATACATGTGAACTCTCAGTTGCTTAACTTTTGTGTGTGTGTGTGATGCTGGGGATTGAATCCAGGGCCTTGTGCATGCAAGGCAAGCACTCTACCAACTGAGCTATATCCCCAGCCCTCAATTGCTTAACTTTTGAAGCCATATTTCCCATTTACCCAAGAAATAAAATGAAAACCCTTATTGTTTTGAGGAATATTTATACATATGAACTTTTTCTGGCCTAATGTATTTTTTGGTGCTGGGGATTGAACCCAGGACCTCACACATATTAAGCACATATCACTGTACCACCAAGCTACACTCCTAGTTTAAAATTACTAGTTTAAAATTACTCTGTTGCATGCTTATTACACTTATATACACATTTACATAAAGTTAAAAAACAGACCTATTTGGAGGTCTTGGTAGGTAGCTTCACATTATAACTGAAAACTCTGTGTTCTTGAGGTCTCTGTGTCTGAAAGAAGTACATATTTAGTAATTTTTAGAACTTTTTCTTGCTTATATTTTCATTCAAGTGTTGAGGATATGATATACAGCAAACATAAGAATTGCTTAAGAGGATATTGAAATGCCATTTTTACCCATCTCTAAATCCTCAAAAAAGCTTGGAGTCTGTAGTAGGAATAGTTTGGGACACCAACATTCAGAGGAGATCAGTGTTCTAAGCAAATTTACCTCAAATAACAATAAAACAGTGGTAGCTGGGTACGGTGACCCATGCCTGTCACCATGCCCAGCTACCATGTGCCAGCATTTGCAATCCCATATACTCAGGAGGCTGAGGAAGTTGTTTTTTTAAATTTTTTTTATTTATTATTCTTTTTAATTACACAAGACAGTAGGATGTATTTTGACATTTGTACATACATTGAATATAACTTCTCATTCTTGTGGTTTTACATAATGTGAAGTTACACTGGTCATGTATTCATATATGAACATAGGAAAGTAATGTCTGATTAATTCTACCATCTTTCTATTCCCATCCCCTCTCTTTTCCCTTCTTCTAATCCAAAGTACTTCTGTTCTTCCCTCCTCCTCTCCTCTTACTGTGTGTTAGCAGCTGCATAAAGTTTGCAGGTTTGAGGCCAGCCTGGGCAAGTTTTTGAGACCCTGTCTCAAAAATTAACAAAGGGCTGGGGTGTAGCTTAGTGCTACAGCAACCCTGGGTTCAATTCCCAGGGCCTGGGGGAGAAAAAAAAATCCAGGTGCACAGAGATTGCACCTGAAGTCCTAGCTACCCCCAGCTACTCAGGAGGCCTAGGCACGGTTCCTGGAGCCTAGGAGTTCAAGAGCAGCCTGTACAACATGGTGAGACTCCATTTCAAAACAAACAAGCCAACCCAACAAATAATTATATGGGTTTTAAGTTTCAGCAGTTATAGGTCATAGCCTCACTTAGTTCACTGTGTTAGTGCTGGAATCTATTGCTCCCCTGTTTGAGGCACAGGAATAGGTGGTCATCATGTAGAGGTGTGCACCAAGTAATTTATCTTTAAGATAAATATTTTTCTTCCATTATATACCATCTGTTTCCAGGTCCTTCATGATGAGAGATTTTGGGGTGCTTCTCTCTCTTCTGTGTAGTTGACAGTCTGGGTGGTGAGGAGATGGCTGACAGTGTCAAAACCTTTCTCCAGGACCTTGGAAGGGTGAGTACATCTTATTTCAAGGAATTTTCCCTTAGACCTTTTTGCTAAGAAACTGACTATGAAATCTTTGAGTGTTCTTGGAGATTTTACATTTTGGGGTCCTTCATATACAGGTTTTCATTTTAGTTAAGACTACTCAGATAGAAATTATTGTGTACCCTATAGGAGCTTGGAAGACCTGTCCAGTGAGTATTTGTAGTATTGGAGCCCTGGTCAGTTAAATTTTAACTTCTTATTTTGAGATAGATTAAGAATTAAGAATTATAGAAAAGTTGCGAGATAGTACAGTTACTGTATATCCTTTACTAGCTTCCCCAAATGTTAACACCTTGTCTGATTATGATACATTTGTCAAAACTAAAAAATAAACATTGGTACAGTACTATTACTTCAACTACTTTATTTGAATTTATATTATGTAACCTATTTTTTTTTTTTTTACTCTCATTTTACAAGTATAGGTGAGGAGGGTGCTCTAAGAAAATGCCCTATAAACGTGTGTTTAGGACTTAGTCACCCAAATTTTCAGTGTTACAAGATTCTGTTACTTGTAGTGGATGTCTGGCGTCCAGTGTCTCCTCTGGAACCTCTCTTGCCATATTCTGAGCAGGAGGAGGTTCTTCCTTCAGTGAGAGTTTAAAAGGTTATTGCCTTACAGTAAAAAAGGAGAAATCAAAGGAGTATTATAGAAGGGCTAAAGAGATTATGCAATATGATCCACTTTTAATACCTTTATCTTCTATTCTCACATTCTTGAGCTATAAAATCTCAACCCTGGATCAGTTCTACAATGTGTTTCTCTACCTTACTATACTGGTATCTAATAGGTGGGGATCCTGTAAGCATACTAGGTAGGCCATTGCCTATTTGAATTGCATTTTCTCAAAGATTGGAGTTTTCTGATTAAAAAAATTTATCGGTGGAAGATTTAAAGGTTAAAAGCAAAAATAAAACTAAAAGTTACTCAAAAAAAGGTCAGATGCACACTATCAGTTTATGCTGTCATCAGTAGGTAGCACAGGCTTGGTTACTTCTCTGTCTCCTGCTGGTATTTCTAAAATTTGTTTTGCCTAATAACAGTTGATGAGAATGCTATCCTTAAATCCAGCATTTTTATGACCAAGATGTATCTCATTGAAGATTCTCAATATGTGGTTGATTGAGTAGCTGGATAGGTGGATGGATAAGTAAATGTAGTTCTTTGGACTAGGTGACAGGTAATTTTGGTATTTATACTACCAACACTTAACCTGGAACTTTTCATGTTTGGCTGGCAGGTGCCTCTGTTACTGTCTTTATAGACTTAACTCTTTTTCTCATCATATATTCATTAAGGATATTTTCTCTTTGCGCTACCCTACCATATCCTTATGTTTTTCTATTGTATGTGGTGTTCTCTTATCCTAGGGCTTCACATTTTATAATAATTTTTTTATTTTTTTCTTTCATTCTTATAACAGTAATTGTTTCTTTACATGTCTTTCTCTAACTTTGGTTGTCCTGCCCTAGTCCTTTCTAGAGTGAACCTAGAGATCAGTTTTATTTATCCTTGTATCTTTATATTTAGTGCAGGATACAGGAAATACTATAGATATTTAATCGATAATGTAGAGTATATAGGGGAAACAACAATTTGGCATCATAGTATTGATGAATATGGAGGAGTTGGAAAACTGTTTTGCAACCATGTTTTTCAAGATTGGTTTGGGCAAGAATTGGTGCTAAATCTAGAGGGGAGAACTTAATAAGCAGGATATTAGCATGAGTTTGGAAGTGTCTCCTCAAAGATTGCTTATTAGTTTCAAGAGGAAAACATTTACACCATATAATAGAGAAACCGGACAATACCTTGACTGTAAAATTAACATAATTACAAGGGGAAAGAGCTATCATGTATTTTTTTTCTTTCTTCATAACTGGTGACTGATCTAGACCTCACACGTGTTAGGCTAGTGTTCTGCTACTAAGCTGCATCCCTAGCCCTTTTTTTAAAAAAATTTGTTTTGAGACAGGATCTTGCCAAATTACCTAGGCTTTCCTTGAACTGCCATCCTCCTACCTCAGCCTCCTGTGTAGCTGTGATTATAGGTGTGTGCCAGTGGCACACAGTGTTCCTGAGGATATCATGTGCCACTTGATGTGATACCTTGAAAGGTACATCATCACTTCTGTGATATTCCTGCTAAAAATGCTTAATGGGATCTAATTATGAGGAAACAAATCTCAGTTTGAGGGAATTTCATAAAATAGCTGACCTATATTTTTATGTATTGGGAATTGAACCCAGGGCACTTTACTACTGAAGGTACTTCCCCAGTCCTTTGTATTTATATTCCTAAATTGCTCAGTCTGACCTCAAACTTGCCTGCCTCAGTCTCCCAAGTCACTGGGATGATAGGTATGTGCTACCATGCTTTGCTGGCCTGTATTATTCAAAAAGAACTACAAAGGCTAAAGAATTATTGCTGATTTTAAGAGACTAAAGAAACATGATAACTAAATGCTATATATGATTCTGGACTGAACTTTTATTTATTTTTTTCCAGTATTGGGATTGAACCCAGGGGTGATTTACTGCTGACCTATATCCCCAGTCTTTTTTATTTTGAGACAGGGTCTCACTCACTGAGTTCCTAAGGGCCTTGCTAAGTTGCTGAGGCTGGACTTAAACGAGTTGTTAGAATTATAAGCATACACCACTTCACCAGGCTGGACTGAACTCTTCTGGGGTAAAATGCCTTAGAGGGCATTATTGGGACAAATGGAGGAAATTGTGATCTGTACTATAAAATATTTTAGTATTAAATTTTTTGAATAACTATCTTGGTTATATAAAAACATTTTTCTTAGGAAATACACACTGAAAAATTAAGAGAACATAATACAGTAACCTATTCAAATGATTCAGGAAAAAAATGTAAGTATTTGTTAATATGACAAAATATTAAACTGATAAATCTTGAAAAAATATATTTGGAAGTGCTCCATTATTCTAGCAACTCTTCTGGAAGCTGGGAATCATTTTAAAAAATTAAAAGAAAGAGAAACTAAGGGTCGAAGGTATAGTTCAGTGGTAAAGTGTTTGCTTATTATGTATGAAGCCCTGGGTTTGATTTTTAGCACTTTCAAAAAGGGATATATATATATTTAATTATATATATATATTATATATATATATATAATTAAATATATAT